CAGATCAGATCATCCGTTGTTACTTTTTCGTTCTGTGTTGTACGAATAAATCTTCATCTTCAAACAATTAACAAATGAGAGATTAACAACAACGACGTACAAGATCAAGCTACGAACTATCCTAACTAGATAATACTATTTGGGGAGCGTCCCAAAATTCAAGCAAATGTTGAACTTCATTTCCATTTGTATGGATTATGTGTTGTTGTTGAAGAGGAGATACGATATGAAACAGATTTTGTTAAAAATGGAGGGTATAAAAGATTGTTTTCCTTGTTGTGCAATACATAGAACTTTCATATGGTCAGAATCCAAATCGGACGCCCAAACATGTGTTTTACCGCCTCGAACTCTGTTCTTGGGATTTTTTCCAAGGTAGGAACTCACGACCACCCATGCAAAGCAGTAAATTGAGCCCTATATCTACAATATTCAGCTATATTTATGTGATGGTCATGGGTTCGAACAAAAGAGTATGCGCTAACAAAGCCGTAGAGGCATTTGCCCAATATTTCATACCCGATCCCATACTGTGTTGAAAATTTGTAATTCTTGATCAACCTTTGCTCTTTTAAAACTATATCTTGCTTGAATCCTAGGACACCCTCTATAAGCGAGATCCAGGTTCTGGGCTTGTGCGCCATTATGAGAACCCCACTATTTTTTGAATTTCCTCCATATTTCGTTCAGCAATCGATCGAGCTGCCTTACCATTCTCAAATAAGATCTCATCGACCTGTTGAAGTAAACATTTGTCCAAAGGATACATTGTTAGGAGAAAATTCTAACAAACTTCTGTTCCTTCCTCCAGCCGAAGAAGTTTCTCTCGTATTGGAAGGAATCGTTCCATGACAGCCCGCGAAAGTGCTTGTTTCAGTTGCAATTGGTCCCAATCCTGCTGCAAAACCTGCGCTATTTCAGTTCCAGACACAGCACAATAAAGATCGATCTGAAAGCAAGATTTAAGACGGAATTGTTAAAACAATCTAAGTATTTCAGTCATTCCTCTTTGCCCACCAAATTGGAAATGGCTGGTCGTTTGTCGGGATCGTAAGAAAGTCGAGACACGGTGTCACTCACAGCCTTCCGACATTTTTCTTCTATTTCCTCTGCAGAGTCACTGATCTTAAGCAAGGTTTTTACTCAAATCAAGACGAGGAGTGCAGGAGTGTCCCAAGTTTTTTCCCACGATCATTACTTATGAACTAGTGGTGTCTATATAGCTTTATTCACAGATTTGAAGCTCCACAAATTCATTCTACTTTAATTCAGTTTCTTGCAATTTCCCACAAAATTGTCGAATTCCAAGTAATATTTTGTAAAAGACTATTGAATTTAGGGTAATCTTTAAACAAACACCAGCCATTCTGCACGTAAAAACATACGCCATTTGTTTTCTCAGCAATTTCTCAGACTCCTCAGGAGAAATGGAATAAATGGCTGAGGTTTTACGTCCAGCTTCCCTTTTCCAACTCAAGTAAGCAGTGCAATCTATACCAATATGCGAAGATGGGGGAAAATCTGACAGTTTGAAAGCCTTTTCCAGCTTCATAAACTTCTTTTGTCAGCGTATTATATTTTGTCTGTGTTGCTGAAAGATAG